AGCAGGAATACGAGCATAAAAATAAAATGCACCTGCGTTCTTCCCCATTATTAGTTCAAATGGCAAACAGCTGTAATAAAGATCTAAAATTTAGAGTATCAATCAAATAAGAGGGATTTAATCCAACACAACCTGCATACTTTTCTCCATACTCTGGGATGGCAAGAAAAGTAACACTATATGAATAAGGACTGTTAGCAAGGTAGATACACAGACAGAAGTAGGTTAAAGGGGAATGCACGCATGTCACTATGGTCCATCTTTTTCTCTCCACCCAACAACACTTCCAAATATCAAAAAAAAAGAACCCCTTGAAAACATCTAAGGGATTTTTAAAAGTAAATTTAAATTACTATCATTGAAAGCACCCTTTAAAGTGAATGCTTGTTTTCAATCCATATATTCAAGGTTTTTTTTTTGGCTTTTGTATTTTTCAAAATTGTAAAAACATAACTAGTTCACCCCCCCCCTTTTTTTTTGCTATTTTGTTCTGAAATATAGTAATCTGAAAGGCAAAACTTAACGTATGTTAAACAACAATAAACAAGTTAGCAATGTGTGTAAATCTGGCTATTCTGTGAGGATGCTTTAGACAGCTGTCAAGCAAAATTCAGTTATTTATGCATCATAGACTGTTTTAAAAAGATACTTTCAAACGTTTGAATGTTTAAATACAGTATTTAAAGGAGGTATACAAGAGTATTCCTGTGCCTCATAAAAAGATTTAATAAGAAATAACTTTTTAATGTAAAAGTTTTACTCGTTTTTCGTAAGTTTCATTGCAAGTATCTGAAATGGGGAGCTTCAGGCACTTGCAGCAAACTATGTGATTTCTCTAACATAATTCACAGATTTCAAAAATGATGTCAGACTGGCAAAAAGTAGAAAGGGTTACTATCAATCCAGTGGTCACAAAAAAATTCTCAGCCTTTACCTAGCATGAAACTCACTGCTGCAGCTATTAGCAGCGTTAGTAAAGTTGCCAACAACTTTATGGCTGAATGACTCCTGAATGGCTGAATGACTCCTGCTTTTCCGCCTGCCCAACAGAAAGTGCTTCAGCACAGCACTAACATCACAGATAAGCTGTAGCAAGGATGCTTACATGTTTATTGCCCATTAGATGACTGTTTTGCAAACAGAGTGGAAGTTTTGCCCCTCCAGGAGTATTAATCATCTTTCAGTAATATATATATTTTTAAATCCTTAATAAGGTAGTGGAAGGCAGCCGGAAATACAATTAAGACTGGTACGACTTAAGAGCTTTTCCTTTTAGAGCAGTTTCAGAAGTTTCCTATAATATAATACCACACGTGCTTTGGATAATTGGAAAAAATCAAAATACAGTTGATTTTAAAAGGTAAGTCAACTGGTCCTAACCTAGCACTTATTGTAAACCATATGATTTGACAGTGGCCCTTGCTATAGAAGGTCCACTCCAGAATGAAATCAGGGAAGATGAGGAATTGCATAGGAAAGCTTT